CAAGTTATGAATTGCCTAGGGGCGGCAAATATTTAAATCCGCCACTGCATCCATACATACGTACAATACGTATTTGAGGGGCGGCATAAAACTATTTACAGTGATTTACTATAGAGTGGTGATTTAGTGCACTAACAACGACTTACCGCCTCCTTTCACATCCTCTTTTCCCGTTAAGTATTATTGCGCTAATCTGTAGTTGAGCTTCTAATGCGCTTATTTCACTTGCTTTATGTTTGCTGCACTAAAAAATGTTGAATAGCTTTTGGCTTAGCTGCTAAATTTTCGTAATTTTACTAAGCAACTGTATTACGCTAATTTTTTTGTTACTTATTTTTTATTTTTGCTATATAAAAATTCTATTTTAATTTAATTTAAAACATGGTGCGAGTGTGTTGGTGCTAGAAATATGAATTAATCTTTAAAACTTAATTACTCGACTGTTTATACTACACTAATTGTAACACACTTTTTTAATTTTTCCTACAATTATTAAAATAAAATAAAAAACCTATAAAAATGCGTAAATAACCAAATAACCAACACTCTAACATAAAGGCGACTCCGCTTGGACACCGGTCGAGAATACTTACAATCACTTTCTAACACTCGATTTGGGTGATACACGTAAAACGCGCAAAATCGCCACAATGGGCCGAAAGCACACACAAGAATTCGTAACCGAGTATATTGTTCAGTATTCGGACGATGGCGAATACTGGCGTTCGTATGTGAATCCATCGAATGAGGCGCAGGTAAAGTACGAGTAACCTACATAAGTACATACATATATAGATGTAGGAGAGTAGAAGATTTCAAATTACTGTATTGTGTTGTTCATTTCGTCCAGTTGTTGTCTTGCATTTATTTATGTTTTGTCTGAGTTTTGAAATTGTTTTTAGTCCAGTTAGGCAACATTTTTTTTTGTAGTTTCTCTTAACGTTTAAGTCTTCGACAAGCTACACACTATCTGCCGCATGTCTTTGTAAAAGAACTACTGGGGTCACTATAAACATCATGTCGGAAAGCCAGACAGCTTTAAGAGCTTTGGACTCATGTAAAACGGTGTCAAGGGGCTAGTAAACAGTTGCACAACTCGCGAAAGACGCAGTCCAACAGAGCCTGCATCATTCTCAATTTTTCTGTGGTCCATACAACCGAGGGATATACGACAGAAGGAGATGGACTACCTCTCGTGGAGTCTCTGAGCAACTTTTTATAACTTCTTGGTTATAAGAACTCTCATATTTGATTGCCCCAGTATAAAGAGCCTATGAGCTCGAATATTGCGTTCATCCAGGATCTAAAAAGTGCTTAACTTTAGCAACATGTATGTAGCTTAAGGTTGAAGGGACGTCTTAAAGGTTATCACCAGGGATGAAAAATGCAAATTTCAGGTTGTGCCTAATATTATAAATTTATGCCAGTATTCGGTAAGCAGTCTCTAGTTATTAATAGATTAAATGAAATTTAAAGAATATTTTTCTTGGGGAATGTTTAGTTACTGTTTTTGGATTAGTGAGCGGAGGGGGTTGGGGCGTGGCTCTTCATATCCAACCCACTACAAAGAGTACAGTCCAAACTTTGTAAAAAGTCACACCTGGCTCCTTGAAACCTTCCACCGACCCCTGGGAAACCCTTGGAAAATGGTCTAAAATTAGCATTTTGACAACGGAAATATAAACTCGGTAAACCGTATTTTTGTGCAGAATTCCTTGGCCGTGCTTAGAAAAATAACCCTCATCATTAAAAAAAATATGTATATAAATGAAAAGAAAAATCCGCTGCCCGAGAACTGGATCAACAAAAATAGTCACTAATTTGTAGTCTAAAATTTAGCGACTTGAGATGAGACCGGCTTACTGAATATCAGCATACATGTGTCCAAATGGGACAGGATGTACCTAAAAAATGTATATCATTTGTTTGTAGTTTTTATATTAATTTTTCCTTTTGGTTACAAAAAATGGATGTACTTTTTTCGTAAAGAAATGGCCTTATATCTTGACGTTTAGGACTTGTAGGAATCATTTTGAAGATTTAACAAAATTTGAAGAAAATTGCTAAAAAGATAAAAATTTTCTTGCATAATTTACGTTTCATTCGGCTTTTTTTTTTAGAACTATACGAAAAATCTGCAAGTTTCTCAGATTCTCTTGAAAAGGTGCAGCCAAGGCGAATTCTTATAAGATGGTGTTGGTAGAACAGCTGCTTTAATTCGCCTTGGTACACATATGTCAAAACTCCCTTATGAGTGGTGCGAAAGTAAGCGAATAATAACTGAAATTTGACATTTGTGTATCGAAAGCGAAAACAAATTACACGTTAGTTTTTGTTTTTGTACTACCGCTACCATCTTATATGAAATCGCCTTGGGTGCAGCAAGTTTTACGTCCGTTCGTGTCAAGGGAAATTAATAGAATTCTCGTAAATTAAATATAATTCCAGACATCACATAGCGAATATAGGTCAAAGAGCTATCCTTTCAAACACAGTAAATGCGAAATTTTGAGGAATATATGCGCGAATAAAATCAATAAAAAAATGCTAGCCGAGTCCCAGCATCGTATAATCTATTATATTTTCTTCTTCTCCAATCCGTTTAATTTGTCGTACTTAGTCGTCTTTTGTCTAAAAAGCAGATAATTGCCGCCCCTACTAATCTTTTCTGGGATTCTATTACTTAAATTCTTTGAAGACCACCTTTATTCAACCCAGATTTTTCGAAACAGTCCGGTTTCATGGGATTTTGATGACATCAGTTGTAGCTTTAATCGGACCGGAAATGGTGTCCATTGGCGCATATCACTCATTCAAAATGAATGTAAACTATGTAAATATCATTAAGTACTCATCCTAAAAAGGGAGTATTTTGTAGTTATTGTTCATTGTGATACTGAATCCAGGTGTTGAGGCCTTGGCCAACTATTGCCATTACCAGCAGTATAATTGCCATTACCAATGCCAGTACCATTACCATTCGAAATACCGTTACCAATATCATTGTCCTTACCATTGTCATTACCATCCCAAACATCTTTACCATTACTTAAAAAAAAGGAAAGTTAATTAAAATTTTTTTTTTACCGAACCCAGAGATCTTATACATATGTATGTTTGTACGTTTATAAACAAAATGAATAAGTGTGGTGTAAATAAATCATTTAGGCAACCTGATTTTGGTTTTTATATGTAATTTTTGAGATCCATTCACTTAACAACGTTTTTGCTTTTAGAGTTATTTTCTTGTATTGCACCTTTACATTTGCATACCGCTTAGCATACTGCCGGTTAAAAGTAGATATCGCCTCACAAAAGACTCACTGCATGTTCCTCCTTTACACTCACTTTTGTTTTGGTTTTGGTTTTGGTTTTAAATGTTGCACAAACTGCAAATTCGCCACAACTAATAAACACAAAAAAAAAAACTTGTGAAATACTTCTACAGATGTTCAAGGGCAATTCCGATGGCAATTCCATACACTATAATGTTTTCGAGGTGCCTATCATTGCCCAATGGGTGCGCATCAATCCAACACGCTGGCACGATCGGATTTCGATGCGTGTTGAACTCTATGGCTGCGATTATGGTGAGTTGTACCACATTTTTTTTTCTTTATTTTCCAAGAAAAAACTCAAATACTTTTCTATTCTCCTTCTAGTCGCTGAAAATTTATACTTCAATGGCACCGGTTTGGTCACTTATGATCTGCAATATGAACCGGTTGCTTCCACACGCGAGTCAATACGTTTCCGCTTCAAAACCGCATTCGCCAATGGCGTGCTCATGTATTCACGCGGCACACAGGGCGACTATTTCGCCTTGCAATTGAAGGATAATAAAATGATATTGAATTTGGATTTGGGCAGCAGTTTGATGACTTCGCTTTCGGTTGGCAGTTTGTTGGATGATAATGTTTGGCATGATGTGGTGATATCACGCAATCGACGCGATATCATCTTCTCTGTGGATCGTGTTATTGTGCGTGGGCGCATTAAGGGCGAGTTTACGCGGCTGAATTTGAATCGTGCGGTATGTGGTGAAAGTGATAACTAATTTATTCCTCAAAAAGCTAGTAATTTCATCAAATGGCTCTTCACTTTTTAGCTGTACTTAGGTGGCGTACCCAATGTCCAGGAAGGTATTATGGTGACGCAGAATTTCACTGGCTGCATGGAGAACTTGTTCATCAACTCTACAAATTTCGTGCGTGCGATGAAGGATAGCTTCGAGTATGGTGATGCATATCGCTATACCAAATACCACACCGTTTATGCCTGCCCATCGCCACCTATTTACCCAGTCACTTTCACCACGCGCGCCTCCTATGTGCGCATAAAAGGCTATGAGGGACAAAACTCAATGAATGTCTCTTTCTACTTCCGCACGTACGAGGACAGGGGTGTAATGCTGCATCATGAGTTTGCCTCAGGTGGCTACATCCGCGTATTTTTGGAATATGGAAAAGTAAAACTGGATATGAAACTTGCCGATAAGCCACGCATTATACTGGACAATTATGATGAACAGTTCAACGACGGAAAGTGGCATTCGTTCGTGTTGACAATTGCGCGCAATCGCTTGGTGCTCGATATCGATCAACGTCCCATGACCACCACGAAGAATATACAAATCTCCACCGGAAAAGTTTACTACATCGCGGGCGGTGTAGATAAAAATGGCTTCGTGGGTTGCATGCGTCTGATATTGGTTGATGGAAATTACAAATTACCAAAGGATTGGGTGCAAGGGGAAGAGGTGTGTTGTGGCGATGAGGTGGTGGTGGATGCCTGCCAAATGATTGATCGTTGCAATCCAAATCCATGCCAACATAGTGGTGTTTGCCACCAGAATTCAATGGAATTCTTCTGTGATTGTGCCAGTACAGGCTATGCGGGCGCAGTTTGTCATACTTGTGAGTTTTATAATCGGGCGTAATTTGAAAGAAAGTTTAAAAAAATCTTCTTCTACTCTTGCAGCGAATAATCCTTTGTCATGCCAAGCTTACAAGAACGTTGGTCACGTGCACCAGCGCGTCAATTTGAAAATCGATGTTGATGGCAGTGGGCCATTGGAACCGTTCCCTGTCACTTGCGAATTCTATTGTAAGTATTGACTTGAAATGATGTGTGCTTTACTTTAATTTTAAACTATTTCTGCCCGCAGCCGATGGACGCGTTATAACAACACTCAGTCACAGCCAAGAGCATACAACAACTGTGGATGGCTTCCAGGAGCCTGGCTCATTCGAACAAAATATCATCTATGATGCAAATATGCTACAAATTGAAGCTTTGCTCAATCGTTCACACACATGCTGGCAGCGATTGAGCTACTCCTGCCGTTCGTCGCGCCTCTTCAATTCACCTTGTGAGCTTTTCTTTTTCATTGTGGAAATTATTCCTCTATAAAACACGCCTTGTTTTTTTTTGATTACTGCAGCTGAAGCTGGTAATTTCCGTCCATTTTCGTGGTGGGTATCGCGTCACAATCAACCGATGGACTACTGGGCTGGCGCATTGCCTGGCTCTCGTAAATGTGAATGTGGCATACTCGGCAAGTGTCACGACCCAACAAAGTGGTGCAATTGCGATTCTAATAGTCTTGAGTGGACTGAGGATGGTGGCGATATACGCGAGAAGGAGCACTTGCCAGTACGTGCAGTGAAGTTCGGTGATACTGGCACGCCGCTTGATGAGAAACAGGGACGTTACACCCTGGGTCCGCTGCGTTGTGAAGGTGACGACCTCTTCACCAACGTTGTGACATTCCGCATTGCAGATGCCACCATCAACTTGCCGCCGTTCGATATGGGCCATTCGGGTGATATATATTTGGAATTCAGGACGACGCAAGAGAATGCTGTACTCTTCCACGCGACTGGACCGACGGATTATATAAAATTGAGTATAAATGGCGGCAATAAGTTGCAGTTCCAATATCAAGCAGGCAGCGGGCCACTTGGCGTGAATGTTGGCACAAGCTATCACTTAAATGACAATGAGTGGCACACTGTGAGCGTGGAACGCAATCGGTGAGTTGATATTTGCGAAGTTGGTTCCATTTAGTGTGCTTACTAATAAATTTTATTTCTGCCAAAAAAAAATAAAAAATAAATAAAATTAACAGCAAGGAAGCGCGTCTCGTTGTTGATGGTTCTATTAAAGCGGAGGTACGTGAGCCGCCAGGTCCCGTACGCGCCTTGCATCTCACCTCAGATTTAGTTATTGGCGCCACCACCGAGTATCGTGACGGCTATGTGGGCTGCATACGTGCCTTATTACTCAATGGAAAAATGGTAGATCTGAAGCAATATGCGCTGCGTGGTCTGTATGGCGTGAGCGCCGACTGTGTGGGCCGCTGCGAGTCCAGTCCATGTCTGAACAATGGTACATGCATAGAACGCTATGATGGCTACTCGTGCGATTGCCGTTGGAGTGCATTTAAGGGACCTATTTGTGCAGATGGTAAGCTTTTTAGTTTTGACACTCATTACATATCTTTTCTGATTAACCCTTGCACTTTCAGAAATTGGCGTTAACTTGCGCACTAGCTCCATCATTCGCTACGAGTTCGAGGGCTCTTTCCGTTCGACAATTGCAGAAAATATACGCGTTGGCTTCACAACTACCATACCCAAAGGTTTCTTACTCGGTTTCTCCTCGAATCTGACAGGCGAATATTTGACCATTCAAATATCGAACTCAGGTGGGTGTATCGGTTTTAGTGAACCAAAATATATATATTTTTTTTATTGATTTTCGCATGCTAAACACAGACTATTCCTTTGCAGGTCATTTGCGTTGTGTATTCGATTTCGGTTTTGAGCGGCAGGAAATTATATTCCCCAAAAAACATTTCGGCTTGGGACAATACCACGACGTGCGCTTCTCGCGTAAAAACAGCGGCTCGACAGTCGTCCTTACGGTGGACAATTACGAGCCAGTCGAGTACAACTTCGACATAAAAGCGAGTGCGGATGCACAATTCAATAATATACAATACATGTACATCGGTAAAAATGAATCGATGACAGATGGTTTCGTCGGTTGTGTGTCACGAGTGCAGTTCGATGATATTTATCCATTGAAATTGATGTTCCAACAGAATCCGCCAGCAAATGTGAAATCATTAGGAAGTAAGTGATCTATTTGAAGTGAATTTTCTTTGTCGGCAGAGGGGAATTAAAAAATCGTCACTAAAATACAGTAAACCTCTACCTAATAAATAAAAAAAAAAAAACAGTTCCAGGAGCATAGTCATTAAATTAGAACGTAGTATACAAATTTCTGTAGTAGAAAACGAACAAGAAATAAATCCCGAGAAGTTTCACTTCCTTAGCGTAGACATTTTTTATAAGCATATGTATTCAAAAATATAATTTATTGTATATTTTTTTTGTTAGCTCAATTGACCGAAGACTTTTGCGGCGTGGAGCCGGTCACACATCCGCCCATCGAAGATGAAACTCGCCCTCCACCGCTGATCGACGAAGATAAATTGCGCAAGGCATATGGTGGTTTTTCCATTATACTTGGTTGTAAGTTACGTCGTAATAGCATTTTGAAAACACATTTTACCTGAAATTCTTTCTTTGTTTTAGTTATATTGGCTATACTACTTCTGCTATTGTTGCTTATGCTATTCCTGATTGGCCGCTACGTGCACCGTCATAAAGGTGACTACCTAACGCATGAAGACGAAGGCGCCGTCAATGCTGACGATCCCGATGAAGCAGTGTTGCATTCAAGAACTGGTCATCAAGTTACAAAGCGAAAAGAATGGTTCATATAGTTCGGTATGCAGCATGCAGGCAATTGGAGCGCATAGTCATCATCGCAAAAGCTATAGCTCTCTATACAGTCTGCTGCAACTTTACATTTTAGCAACTACAACGCTCGCATGCGTACGCACCCACACACATACACACACGAATAAGAAGTTGTTGAATTCTTTTAAAATCACAAATCGAAGTAGAGTATCGTAAAATATTATATATATATTTTACATACATATTTACAAATACATATATTGATTGTATTAAGCATTACGCGGATGAGGACGACGTGGACATTGGAAAAAAAAAAACAAGAAAAATTAAGGGGGAAACGCAAACGAAACTGAAAACGAACAAAGAAGCGCTGACATTTTTTAAAATTAAAATCGCATTAGAAGAAACTATGAAAGGAATTGTGAAGCGAAACTTTTAAAGGATGAAAAAAAAACAAAATCAAAAGCTGGCAAACAGTTTTAATTGTCGAGATTTTTTCAAGAGCGTTATGGGACACACTGCCAATTTCGATATATGTAAGTAGGCACCAACCAGTTGGAAGCGGTATAATATGTGAAATAACCTTCGAAGTAAGAAGGTATTCCTAAAAAGTCAAAAGTGTTCTTATCTACACAAATGCGAAAAAAATGATAATCACTACTAAAGTAGATCCACTAGCTTTTCCTTCCAACTGGCCATTTAGTAATGTTTTCGTTGCGTTTTTGTGCTGCGTACTTTCTTCAAGAGTGCTTTTTTGTTTAATTCTAATTTGATTTTAGTTTGGCGCTTTGGTTTTTTATGTTTTCATTGCGTATTTCTCTTATTTTCAAAACCATATTTAGGTTATTATTTGATAAAAAAAAAAAAACACTGTAATAGGCAACTCTCAAGCGCAAATTTATACCGTCCATTTTTTTGTACCTTTAAGTTTTTTATACATATTTTTTTTTGTCTTAAGTCGCACTCAAAAGTAAGTGTAGGTAATAGAAAAAGAAAAATAAAAATTTTAACTCCCTACAATTCTGATGTAATGTCCATGATTTTTTTAGTCGTCTTATATTTGTATATAAATGTTTTTGTGCTTTAAATAAGAAATTTAATTTCACAACCTTTTTAGGAAAAACAAAACATTGCGCTCTTCTTTTCTACGACCTTTAAAATTCGGTGACACGTCTTTTACAGCGGCAATTTTTAAAACTTATCGAACATGCATTTGATTTAATTTGTTTTAGTACCGGTACATTCCATTAAATCATAAACTAGTTTTTCATTGACATGAGTTATAAGTATGCATACATACATACTAAAAAAAAAAAAATAATGATACTTTACATGGGAAAAAAAAGGTTATGAATATTTTTTCAAATATTTTTAAAACGTATGATATTTTTTAAATTTAAGCAAATATGTATGTATCTGTATTTGAGTTCGACTTTGAAAAATTAACACATACATAGGTGATGTACACATATGTACATATAAAAATTAAATGAAAAAAATTTGTAAAAATTATAAAAATCATTAACTGAACGGTCCATAAAAATGTGCAAATTTGATTGAAAATTATTTAGAAAATCTATTAAATTATCGATTCAATTGTGCACTTGACTATTCGCCTAGATTTGTGCATCGAAATTTCTAAGAATTTGCGTAAATTATGTATGCAACTTACACTCATACATACATACAACACTAATTGTGTGTCGATAATAATTTTTTGTAACAGTTAGGAACTATTTAAAAGAAAAAGTAATTATAGATTTAAATTACACACAAAATTGTACTACGAAACAGCAACAAATAATAATAAAACATTACCTACAGTGTCACATTTAGAGTATGAATATTTTAGAATAAGCAATTATTTTAATAAATTTTAATTAATACACACACAAAAAAAATCGAATTTTGCTTCTCCTTATTCGTTAAAAAAATTATTATCCCGACTAGTTGGAACGCTTAAGATTTGGCGCTGGATAGGTTCTTGCAACATGGCTATTTTTAAAGTAGCTTATGTCACGAAGATTGTCCAATTATATTATTGTGGGGGTAGTGCGAAGTACTCCAGCTATGCCAGGCACGCAACAACAAAGCTAAACGGTTGGGGAAGTAGGTAACGCCCTTGGCAGACACAATTTGATCAACTTAGCGTGGGTACCCGGCCACAAGGGAATAGAGAGTAACAATGTGACAATAATTACCGCAGTTGGCCCCTAGCCCTTCTTGGGAGTGGGTCGCAACACTATAGAGGAGGATCTTAAGAGCGAGAGGAGCACATTGATGGGTATAAATTGGCAAAGTTCAGGAGGAACGCGTGAGGCAAAGAGTTTGCTCTGAGGGTTTAACAAGAAGAGATTCAAAAGCGTTTGCGAATCAACCAGCGAGACACAAACTAAACATTCTCACCGAGTGTCATGCAGACTGAAGAAGACGTGAGAGAAACCTAGGCTCGATGTGGCCACAGCTTAAGCACACCCACTCGCTATCTCCGAATACGCTGTTGAACTTTCTGAAGGATCTAGGCTTAGAATAAGTGTTGTATAGGAGAGAGGGCCCAATAGGATGGACGGATAAATTAGGCTGTAGGGAGTTCGAACTTTCTTTAGCTCCTATATATGTAGGAGCTTTAAGATGCAGAATAAGATGTCGGAATAATGTAAAAACAGTCATTAAGTTCGTTTTCGCATGGCATTTTTTAAATGGCACAAATTTTTTTTCCATTTTAATACCTAATGGAAATCCGGTATTAGAAACGGGCTGCATTATGTAATGCCAGTATGCCAACTTGGTATTGATTTCACATTTCATTGCAACAGTTTTATTATGTTCTATGTTAAGTTACTTACCAGCATTAATAACTCAATCTTCTGCTAATTATTTCAAGGAAAAAAGTCTATATATTTTTTTAGGCTATTTGCTATATATTGAAGCTCTAGTTCTCCATGTAGCTTTATACTTACTACTAAAAAAAAAATGAATGAAATATACGTATGTAGGAGGGACTGGAATGTTCTCTACAAAATAAGTAAGTAAAACACAAATTTTGTTTAAACATTTTGTAATTTTTTCCTTTGCAGTTATTTCTAAAATAACTAACGCATATATTTCCATATTATTATTTATAGTCAATTATTGTGCTAATTAATATATGTATGTATGTATATGTTTGTATACATATGTAACAATATTTTACATAAAATATATATTTTTTTTAATACACACTACATATTTTCGAATTCCTTGTCTCGGTTATCTATAATTTCTACATTTTATAAATACATAATTAAGTATAATATTTAAATTTTCTTTTTTCACTAAACGTAAAAACTAATTTTGATTCTCTAAAAACTTATGCCACATTTCCACTAGGCACTGAAATGTCGAAAAATGTGTACCATCATTAAAGTAAAGTCATTCAACTAATGCCCAGTGGAAATACAGCATAAGTGTTAAATAACTCTTATCTGCTCACGATTTTTTCGCATTTTAGCTACATATATGCGTGTGTCTATCAATGCTATCAATATGTATTAATTTCCTTGAACTAGTTTCAGGGCTAGGTATATTTTTGTATGTGGGTAAGTGTTAGATTTTATCATATTTATGTTTGTATAAAAAATTGTAAAAAATAGTTAAATTAGTAAAATCTACTCTCTAATAGCAACAACTGTTATAAAAAAAATTTGTTTGTTTAAAAGAACCTTTTCTGCATCGGAATTTTCCGAATTTAAATTTTTTTGTGTTCTTTCAACTGCTTTTATTAAAGATGTTGTTTTCATTTAAAATCGCAGTAATTGATTTTATATTTTTTTCAATTCGAAATATTCAATAACAAATTGATTATAGTACGTTTTGTATTTTATAGCACACATACACCTAAGTTTATATAAAATACATACATATCTAGCACTTGACCTTTCACCATAATGTATGTATATGCAATGCTAAAGTCTATAAGGTTCAGGAGTATATTCGGGTTGATAATAGGTTACCCACAATCAGTCTACTTCTAATCTACATAAATAATTTTGATTAAAAAAATCAATAGCCGAAAGTAAAAAAAAATTGAGAAAGAAATCGAATGCAATGCTAACGGAAGTATCTGGGAAGTACTATGGACTTTTATGTACTTGAACATATGTACGCGTTTTATAAATTGATTTTCCTTTGAAAGCTACTTCGACTGACCACGTTAAATGGACGCTTATTTTATTAACATAATGAGCCCAAAATTATGCACTATGAAGTGTTTCGGCAACTTGTGCTCATGGCGCATTATTTCTTTCGCCTCATTAACACGTGTCTGAACTTCTCGAACGGCTAATGATATAATTTGTTGAATAAACCATTATCATTATTTTTATTTACTATTGGCATAACTCTCGTTTTGTAAGAGCTGAACTTATTCCCCTGGTGTTTTAAGCCCTAAGATGCAAATTTTGAAATGAATGGACTTTGCCTAGCTAATGCCGTTGGATTGTGAAATAATCCAACAACGTGGATCGCTAATATTGAAAGCAATTAACAATTCTACGAATGCTTGCGACAAAGATCTCGAATTGGTCCAGGAGTTGAAGGCAACTGGGAGGTTTAAAGATTATATGCGGCCAAAAAATAAACTTTTTGAATTTTCATCTACTACCGAGTCTAGAGATGCTAATGGAGTGATGCCTTTATGCGCTTCATTTGGTCATATTTTTTTTTACTTTATTTAAATGAAATAAGAATCTGGTATTTGCATCACCCTTTCTCTGCTGGGTATTCTAAAAATATGTATGCTGTTATTTTTGTGAATACCACAGTTTTTTTTTTTGAAGCTATTCCCATTACTTCTTTTTGAATTTAGTATAAACTAACTAAGTACCTATTTATCTTTTTATATGCATGTAGATATTCCTTTATATGTATGTATGTAGCTGTCGATATGTGCTCAATTCTTACATTTTGGTCAGCTTAATATTGAATTCATTTTGGTTTTTAGTTTTTTCTCTAATGCCTAATTGTTTGCCGTTTTGGTTTACATTTTATTTATTGTAGATTTCTTATATAAAGATATGGTTTGTATTATTTTTTTTTAATATTTTTTTGTTTATAGCATACTGTTTCATCTTAAAGGTATTTATATTGTACGCATGCGCAGATTATTAATTTGTTTTTTTCTGAGTTTTTTCAATACTGTTTGGTTAGTTGTTTTATAGGTATGTAAGTACATATGTATATTGTTACACCCTAGTGATTATAAAAATTGTAATTATTACTGCAGTTTTAGGTGTTTTGAAAATAGTTCGGTAAATCGTTTGCAAATCTTGGTTGACGGCAGCTAACATCGGTTAGATCTTTTAAAGATAATAAAGTTAATCTGTTTTGAAGCTGTTAAGGGCTGCATAAGGCTATTTTCTTCATCCTTATTCATTAATCTCGAAACACTTAGTACATATTTCCAATAATTTTCTTTATAGCTTCGAGTCTGAACTAAATAAGTGGCCTCCATGTTTGGGATCGAATATCTGGAAAGATTTCCTAAGATTTTCCAAAAAATTAATTCCCGGAATACATATCGCCAAGAGAAAGTTTGAGAGGTTCTTCGTACCATGCCGGAATAACCTGACTCAGATTTCCAACCAAATATGAGGATTAAAAAAATACTTTTTTTCATTAAGATCTCTCCGAGCCGTGGTTGACTAAACCAGGTGTTTTAGATAAGTACAACATTTTCCCGCATAGAAGACGAGGAAAAAATTTTGGTCTAGCGGTGAACGAATAACCAGACAAAGACCTACTGGTAACTAACAAAGCGTATTCGCATACTGGGACATTTGTATTGGGAATCGTTGGAATTAGTGAACCTTGTCTACTTAGGAACCAGCATCAACACAACCAATAATGTCAGCCTGGAGTTCGGCGAATGAATAACTCCTAAAACAGGTGCATATTTGGGCTCGGTGGCCATATTTCTCCTATACGCTCTACAAATGTATGGGCTAGTAACAAATATTCTACCAGTTAAAATGAAGTTACGGCCAAGCTTCCTACCTTGAGTATCTGGAGACATAAAGTACTTCCAATTTTGACAGTATAACCTTAAAGGTCCAGAGTAAACAGAGGTAGACGTTCAAACGAAAAAGGAGTCTACATAACTGAAACGACCCAGATCTTTTTCTGGCAAAGTGCAGTATTTATTCCCCGAGAACTCTTTGGGTGTTTTTCTTGCTGTTACAATATTATTAAGCAGAGACGGGTTTCTTTTTGGAATATATCTCTACACCTCTTCAAGAAGAAAACTAACGACTTGATAACACTCGCATAAGTCGCAGAGTAATCGTTGCACGTGGTTCAACTGCCTTATATTCGTGAGATAATAAATATTAGTAATTTCTAACTCCTCTTCCTAGTCGTACATAAGTAAGTTCAGCCTGACGGTATGTGAGATATTACAATTTACATTCAAAACGACCTGACAAGGTGGGCAGAAAAAAACGCTCTGAGGAAATCTTCAAAACTGAACTAGTTAAGTTCATGAAGCAATATAAGATAGGCTATTTTCGAATTCGATCATACAATGCCGGCAGGTCGTCAGTTGTCAAAAAGACGAAATGATTGTGGGTTATTATCGACTCTAAACTTTCCTGGAAAGGAAGGAATACTTAATGATAATACATTGGGTATACACATCACGCATGTCTATATACAACCCTAGCAATTTGCTCGGCAGTCCAGCCTACGCTAGCGCCTCTTCTAGACAGTCCACCTAACAACATATGTAGACATACGTGAAAAATGCTCTGAGGACGTCCAGCAGGTTGCGAACACCTGAAAGGGGCAATGTGGATGAACGAAGACCATGGAGTAAGCTAAGGCCCTCAAAGCCCAATGCGTATGGCTACTCACAGGAATACTTGCGGAACACTGGCCACATGTCCGCCAGGTGCATAGCTCACTTTACGATTTTTGCAAAAACTGTGGAGATGAGGTGGCATAGAGAATTAATCCAGCACTTCGTAAGTGGGTGCCGTTCACTTCCCAACTTTCTGGAGGACCACTGAAAACATTATTAGAGGGTCTGATAGCATTCGCAAAAAAATCAGGATGGCCAAAGTATACAGAGGGATGTCCTCTCCTAGGCATCACAACGGTTCTTTTGGACTACCAGGCGAACACATAAACCAGAGCCACCTGTCTAACCTAACCTAGTCATTTTGAAGTTTTTAGATGATTATAGTTTGAAAATTAAGAAAGATTTTGTTTTAGGTAGGGAGAGTTGTATTTGTATATACATACATATGTAAATACTATGTGGTACATTCGAGTATGTTATCTACGGTGTAAAAAATTTGTGCTGATATGGTCAAACTTTTATTTTGACTACAACTATTTTTTGGTTTCACTACAATTTTCGTTTCATAGAAATCTATTTTGAATATAACTAATATTTTTTCGTAGATTTCAGTAAACTTATTATAATTTGCCATGATATTTGCAAATATTTATGAACATGCATTCCTCTGTCAAATAGTTTCAAAAGCAAGTCTTTATGTTGGGGAAATATGTGGCCAACAAATTGTGCAATATTGAATCTTAACCAAATTTATGAAAAATTTAAAGAAATAAAAGTAAATACATCAAAAGTAAAGTCCAGCTTTAGAACTTATTTGACAGAGTCTATGCAAATTTACCTGCTAAAGCATATTTTCCGAAAATGATTAAAAAACTATTTTCTTTCTACAAATGTATGTATCTATGTATGTACGTATATATTTTCTTTTCCCCATCACTAACACTCAAAATATTCACTACTTTATTTAAAAAAAATAAAAAATCCATCATAATTAAAATTTTAAGTTTATAAAAGAAACACACACATCTATCACATGGTTATACATAGCGGCAGAAAAAGGAAAACTAAAAAGTTTGTTCTTTGAACTAGTTGCACTATGGAACTATGTAATATAAATATATAATTCTATAACTATATACATACATATGTATGTACAGATGTCTCTAAGTACGTATGAGCGTATGTACTAGAATTTGTAATTATAAAACTATGTAGCTAAAACTAGACTTACACCACACCAATTGCGGTTCAGTGCGACAAAGTTATGCTATGCCGCTGCGCAACCTCAAACATCCGCTAAATGTATGACATGTCTGCTCCCACTTTGTTGCTGTTTAACATTTTACATTACATAGATATGTATGCTATTCAAATTACCTTACAAATTGAAGTAGAGTCGCGCCATTAAATTCATACGCCTTGTGGCACGCGCTTCCTCTTCGCTATTCATCATCTGTAGGTATTGGAAAATTTTATCTCACAAAATCGTACAAACCACAAAGAGTGCCAACACGAAGAATAGCATCGCCACAATATCTTTGTGTAGATTACGATCACGATAGAAGGGGCGTGTCGTATACGATTCCTTGCGCGTTTTACGGAACAGCCACAATGGTATAATTAATTGGAGAATGTCCGGTACCATAAAACCGATATCACGTACTATTTGATGGGCATAGCCCTCGCCACGTACCACATTCAGGAAGAATTGATCGAAACTACTGGCTGTGATGTGGAGTATGGCAATGCCAACGATGCAGAATACTTTTTTCGATGTGACGGTGTTGGTGGTGTTGGCCAGATGCATGACCAATACGGAAGATATCAATTCGGTTACCTGCAATTGAGAAATGAGAAATATGAGAAGAATTGAAGAAATAAGTAAATTAAAGGAATATTTTAGAAGTGTACATAAAAGGTAGGAGAAAAATTCACCAGAAGTTTACTGATTCTGAACTTGTGGAAAAATACTGCAGTGGTCTGTGTGAGCCTGTATCCACCAGTGACCGAAAATAGCCGCTAAATATTAAGACTTTTCTTTTTAGAACGTTGAAAAATCGTTATTTTTGTTTTTTACTTTTTCGACCAAAAATAATTGTTATTTTGGATTTTTGTTTTTTGTTTTGGTCATTTATGATCGACTTAAATTTTCTATGATCTAAAAAATTTAATCTGAAAATAATGGTTATATAAGATCGAAAACTAAATATCCAAATATAACGGTTATGGTTGATCAAAAAAACAAAAATCATAAATGAATGGTTAAATTTGATCAGAAAAATAGAAATTTTATTTTAACGAGAAATTATGATTTTTAATAAAAAATCACAACCGTTGAATCGAAGTCCTGCTCCTTTCATAAAATTGGTTTCGGGAATTTCTGTAGTCGGTTTCTGTTATTGTGATCTATTGTGGCCAATGAGTCAGCTGTCCTTTAATTTTTTATTTTTTTAACTTTGATTTTTTTCATGAAAGAAACTCGCGGAATTATTTCCCGAATGCGGTGGACAAACAAATTTACGGTGGGTGCAAAAGTACTGTAAAGTAAATAACAGATTTTATCTTTCATGATGATATATTTTGACAGCTGTCAAGCAAATCTATCTACAGACAAGTTCCAAGTTGAAGCTTTAGTGGAGTCGACACAATAAGGAGGCGCAGGGTGCCCAACATAGCCCAGGAGGAGGTTAAGTGGTCGAAGGTAGGCCGAATAAAAGGTCGCGAAAAGGAAGGTAAACCTCTGGGATAGCAGGTCGGGTGGTCTTCGATAAGCGTCTGTATTTGGATATAGAAATTTTTTATTCCACTTTTAGTGCGTTGTTGGATTCTGGTGCTTTGAAAACCGTGATTGGTAAAGTGGGATGAAATATGTTGAGTTTATGGGGCCTTAGGATGTCTTCTTCGAATAATTTACTGAGAGCGACCTTTGCGGATGAAGACCACATTTCGGTGTTAGGTTCAAGTCCGTTACCAATCGAGAAGGGCGGCGAGTCGGTTCTCCTGGAATGCTTCGTTGTTCCCGGTTTACCTCAGAGCGTAATGCTTAGTGTCGATTTTTGAACAAAGGCGAGCATTGTCTCGGCTTTGTTGAGAATGAAATGGTCGTTTTCTCAACTGGAGCACGAGGCGTTGGCGGTGATAGTGGAGAGAGGTTAAGGCTTTAAAGGAAATAGTAGCCTGGGCGTTCAAGGCTATGCCATAAGGGTTAGGTCGAACACAGCTTGCTTCGAGCATAGGATTCGGTTTAGGGCAGCTGCGAACCTGTCAAGCAGCGTTACTGCCCGGTATTTCCCGTCATACAGTCACGCATGGACGACCCATGCTCGACATGGATGTGATTGAGTAGTTGCATAGTCCTTAGACGTCCCCGTTGGTCGTGATTAGGAAGAAGGATGGGTCGTATAGGTTCTGTGTAGGCTATAGGGTTTCGAATAAGTGCACTGATAAGGATAGTCCATCGCTCCCTTAAGTTTCAGATACCTTAAACCTGGCATCCCAAGGTTCTTGTTCAGTCTGGAAACTAAGTCAGCTTATTGGCAGATTCCCGATCGGGAGGAACGATCGGGGTACTTCAGAGCTTTCACGGTATCAGGTAGAGGTTTTTTCCAATTCAAGCCTGCGCCTTATGGTTTGCATAATGCTCCAGCAACGTGCAACGGTTCACAGCTCAGTTAAATGCCCTGTTACCGTAGATTCATTAAATTTTTCGCAGATTTTGATAATATTTCCGATTGGGTGGTAGTATGATTTATTTTCGAACAAATTTCCATCATATCCCCCACCCAAACCGCTTGTCTCCAAACCAAATCTGACAAGGGATGACGTAAAAAGAACTAGGTTAGGTTTACAAGGAGCACTTCTAGTTGAAGTTTTAAAGCGATATATCTTACCGTGCTCGATTCTTTACTCCTCTTTTGTATGGGATGGCCAAAGGTTCAAGGCCTTCTGATTAACTGATTCAGCTTTTTTCAGAAGTGAAAATTTTACATCAAATAATAAGAGAAACTTAACTTCACTCCTCATAAATACCGAAACGGCGAAAATACATACAACAACACTTACATACATATGTACGAGTATATTCAGCAGAAATGTAAACAAATGTTTCCAAAAGTCAGGAAAATTTCCGATATACTGTGGACAAGTACCGACACATTTACACACAGCAGGTACACAATTTAGCTAAACGCTCTATTGAGGCACTAAATACAAAGAGAAGCAGCTGCCATCAGAAATCAAGCAGATATTTTCTTCCAATCTGAAAATATTAGTTTGTTAACTTCAACGGCAACTTTTTATACCAAATATGAATTCGTCTCGTAAGTAGCAGTCGCACAATGGGGCTAACGTCAAATTTACTCTTCAAAAGGGTTTATAGCCTACAACGAAAATAAGAATTTAATTGAGGCCTTGAGAGCTAGAGTAGCTTAACTGACATTAAAAAAAAAGGAATTGAGATAATAACCGAACTCTGAATTTGGTTTTTTAATTGAAAGATAATTAAATTCTTAAGAGTTTTGAGGAGCTACTTTTTTAAATTTATCTTGTTTTTATGGTTAACGGTTTTGATTAAATAAATAAAAGTTCATCATACAAATTTTTTATAACTGGATAATTTGGTAACCGATTAAAGAAAAAGTTGTAATATCGAATAAAAGGCAATTGACTTTGCTTATACGACTAAGAAATATTTGTTAAGATTAAAAACAAGAGATTTTTTTTTTTGTAAAAATGGGAAAATTTTCGATTAATTACATATTGCTTAAAAATAATTGTGTTCACAAAAAATATGAAACAATTTAAAATTTGCGCCTTGGAGTCAAGCATTCAATTTTTTTTTTGCTGCAAAGTGTGTTTTTTCAACTTTGTTAAAAAAATAAAATAAAAACAAAATGCATTTTAAAACTTAGTTCCTTAATCCTTTTAAGAATTTAATTAGGTGCCCTTCAAAAAAAAATAGAAAATCCGTCAATAATTGTAGGCTGTCTACCTTTTTGAATAGTAAATTAAACGTTTGCCCCACTGTGCGCCGTAGTCTGCTTAGTGATTTATATATCTCGTAGTTGCTGAAAAACTTTGCTTAACTTGCGCCAAATCTTGGCTCCAAAAAAGCTTTAGCTTTGCTACTTTTAGTTAGAAGACAAGTGGTTGCTTATTCTGAGTTATTAGCTATTCAGTAAACTTTCAAACTAATGTGGCTTTAAACTTTTAATGCGAAATATTTCGTGTTGTTCATACATATATAAAATCAACTGTGGCATTAAATTCCATTTCACAACAAGTGAAGCGTTGCTGTTTGTTGTAGAACGGTAGCAAATGGCACGACTCACCTTTGTAAGTTTACTAAAGCTAAGATTACCAAGAAATAATACTTTTGCCCAGTAAAATATTGAGAAATTACAAAATTATTTACGTACTCTAAGCAATGTATGTATGTATGTATGTAGACGACAGGATAATAAAAAGTTTTCGAGTAATAAAAATATGCACTTATTTTTTTTTTTACCTATAAAGTTATGACCGCCCTATTTCGACAGTTTGTGAATTCTACTAATTACGGTACATATGACCATTTAGTATATCATCGTCACATAATTATATATGAAAATTATTTCATGTTACACACTTTATGAGATTTAATTATGTAGCGCTTACAAAAACTCGTGAAAAGCGCCATGTAAACGCAGGTAAGCGTATAATTAAGCACTCAATAATTCACTGATTTATCTGAGTAATAAACGTAGTATGTATATTGGCTACTGGCGTAGTATAAGTACCCCCTACACATTATCAGTGTTTGAAAAATCGTTTGTGTAGAAAATATATATATGTAATTAGTTTTCGTAAATATGTACAGTAAAGTAGGGTGGCCAAAAAATATAAGGGAAAACTCGAATTTTTGAAATTCCCCAGAAATAAATAAATTATAGTTTAAAAAACTAAAACCTCCCTATTATAATCGCCATTCGTACTGTCATCAGGTATGTAACTTGAGAATAAAAATCGCTGCATCTTTTAGGCGCATCAATATTACATAGTTACATCCCGAACTAATAAAAGGAAGGTAAAAATGGGGGTGTATTCGAGCTGCAATTATGTAATGTGGCAGTGTTACTGAAAGAGCATCACGTTCTACGCGAAAATTTGAGCGATTCTGCCTACATCAAGCGTTCGAGAAACCCAATTTTGGACAAACAATTGCTCACTATTGGCAAATCAAAAGCAACATACAACGTTTTACTGCGCAATTTCTGCAGCATTTTAGCAACAAGGCTGCGGCGATATGGCCGTAATTATTATGTAGCGCGAACACACCCTGTACCTCCGGTGTGGGAAGTTTTCCATTTATTTTGTATGAAGAAAAAAAAATTTTTCGAGAACAGTTATAAAATATTTAAAAATAAATATTTTTTAATCGAATAAAAATATTTCGTTTCAGAAATCTTCTAGTATAGAATTATTATGGGGGGTGGGTGGCTGGAAAAATATATCTTGGACCAGCCTAATGTAGAAGTACATACATATATGCGTGTAGACATATTGAACCACTTTTATAGCTTATTATGTGGCTATATTAAAATACTTATATGCCAGTTTGCATTGGTTTCATGACAGAAAAAAAAAACATACATGTGGAAAGAATTACTTGCGCCATAAAACAAGTTCAAGTCAGCCGGTGGGAAAATTTTTTTTTTTATTTTTTCTAATATATGTATATTTTGTATTTAGGTTTTTGTTGAAATTTTTAAATTTAATTAAAAGTATGTATGTATATACATATACATATGCACATATGTACATATGTAACCGCTAGCCAATATGCCTAGCCAGCGCCCAGCATTTTTTTGTTTTACCTCATTACACTTTTATGTTATTAATTAGCGTCCCACCGTAAAATTTACATATGTAGATGTTGCGATGGCTAGATATTTATATAAAGAAGCGTCCCTACAAAGCTTATGGTAATGAAAGGGTTAATGCAAATGAACACAGTGAATAACAAATTTGTGTTTTTTTCTGGTTCCGCTGGTTCCGAAAATCGAATTAATTTTTTATTCTATGGATAAGTTTTCGAGATATTTTCAATTTACCGTTAAAAAAATAAAAAATGAAAAATTATCAAATATTAACAGAAGAAAAATTTAAAAATATAAGATTCTGTGTAAATTTTTTGCATTTGTGTTACTTATGTATGAAGAAAATCGATGGATAAATAAAGAAACAGTAAGTTGTCAAATGAAAATGCGCAAAGATTTTTTGTATGAAATATAAGCGGAAAAGTGTGTTACTCAGGTGTATATGGCGTATGAGTAACATTCGAAAAGTGATGTACATATATAGTATACGTACGGTGACCATCCGTCCTGTTTTTTGCAGGACCGTACTGTTATTCAAAAGTTTGTTCTGCGTAGGTTTTCAAAACGAAAAACCTCAAAATGTACTGATTTTTTCCAAAATTTACTGATTTTGTCTTTGTCCCGCATTTTTTTCGATATTTTAAAATAAACGACGGGAGCCCTTGTTTTTATCAACATAAGCATAAGCAGCGTCGATAACTAATTGAGGTAACTACATTAGGACGGGGCTGATTTTGAAGCTTCAACAAGTCAATGAAAATGGAGACCAGCATCTCAATTTTAGGCTAAATAGTAAAAAATTTAGATGAAAATTTGTTGAATTTTTCTAAATTCTCAATAAAGTTTGAGTTATGTGGTTTTGGGTAAAGAATGAACCATATTTTTATAAAAAAAAAAATTAAAAAAATGTTGACTTGAAAAACATTGCAAATATTTAACAAAAATCACAATGCACACACTTTTAATAACCAGTTTATATTTTCTTGTTTTTTTGTACTAAGTAAATTTACATATGTATGAAGGTATATTTTTTTGAATTGTCCTGCATTTTCAATTCATAATTATGGTCACCGTAAATATACGGTTTATGGAGAATTTTGTTTGCTTTGTTAGATTGTAAAATTGGTTCGTAAGATATACCTACGTGGTAAAATGGAACCACTTTTTGTTTTAAGCTGAATGACGTTAAATTGAAAATATCTCGAAAACCTATCCATGGAATTAAAAATTTTCTCGATTTTCGGAAAGAGCGAGCAATTCCATATAGAAATTGGATAATGGCATCCGTTGAACATTTTTGCTGTTAACCAGTGAAATTAGAGGAACATTTTTTTTTTATACTTTCGTTTAAGTATATCGAGCCCTGACCGTCAAAAAGACGTAAGCGAAATTTTTTCAAAATTTAATTTTTGAAGCAGAATTGAATCTAGTGGCTCTAGGAATATTCTGCATCAAAAAGAAAATTTTGAAAAAAGTGGATTTAAGGTTTTTTGCCGGTTAGGGCCAAATATGCGATGTGATTCATATGATAGTTTTTGTATGTGAGAGTTTTATATGTAAATAGACATTAACATAGATCATATATTAATTTGTTAACTCACCCCTGAATACGTATTTTTGACCCTTTTTATAGAAGTAATGTTCTTGAAAAATTTTCAAACAGTAAATTTTTTTACCGGAGAAAAAACCGTATTGTCATTTCACACGTTCCGGTTTTCGTTTACCCAGCAGCCGGTTTGATGGGGCTAAGTGTACATTTGCAAAGCAATTAGATCTTTAAAGCAATCTGGTGCCCAGTTACATATTTACATTTTATGCGGGCAAACCGTTTGCTGGGTAACCGGATCCGGAGCGTGTCCAACAACATTTGCAGTGAATAGGAAAGAAAAATTAATCGCAGCTTAGTGCTTTTACAAATTTGGTATGAAACTATAGGATGTACATAATGACTGACGAATGCAAATTGTGATGCGATGAAGGGAGATTATCGGGGAGATTAATTCCCGTATATGGATACTAACGTAAGAATTTGGCTTGGCAATTATTCTAAGTAAATTTTCTAAAAACTTTTCCCATATGTAAATACTCCCATAAGTACATAGTTTATATTTCTATTGCATTTAATTGCACTAAATTTAACACGTTAGTATTAGTATTAGTATTGCCCAGATATGTATGGAGAAATATGTATAAAAACTTCAGTTTCCTGAACCGACTAAGGCTCAAAGAGTCGGCCTAATGGATGTCAAATCAACCTAGGCATAGTAATATTCTTGGCAAATTACAGAAGTCGAACAACACTAGATTTTAAGAGAAACTTGCAGGTGAAGTTTTCTGATGGCATTTGAGAAGAGACAAGGTAATCGAGGAGAATTTTGATGGGTCCAAAATGGACTTGGGTTTCAGTGAGGGGGCAATTACTGAGATGATGGAAGCCTCTCTCCCCACCACCCATTTTTTTTTAGCATGTTCTATGCGGATATTCCTTGGTTTGAAAGGGCTTGTAGGGTGATGAAAAGAAGCTGTGAGAGAGTACCTAAACAAAGTACATTTGCTCATATAGCCAACCAGCTTTTCTGATACTTGTAACACCAATAATAAATTCAAAAGTAATCAGAGGTTGCAAGTTTACGTTAAACTCTATCGCCGGTGAGCATGCAGCCGCAATGGGCCTCTCGTACAGCTCTCGCTATAGCAGCTGTAATCTCGAAGAAAGTGGGAAAATAGAGTTGCATTATTTTGGCGTGTTCCCAGTCATGGCACGTAAAAGTCGCGAGACACTAGAAAAAAATTCTTCCAGTAAAATCTTGTTGAGATTTTGAAATGTTCCAGTACATTACAAGTACGAGTGCAACAGTATTCTACTCAACACGTAACCAACCTAAATTCCTTGTACTCTACTCCGCCTGCTGCAGGCCTTATTACAACTGATTGCAACAACAAAACTCATTCATGAATAAACATAAATTTATGTGCATAACTACATTGTATTTATATTTGAAAATATTAAGTAGGTACATAAATACATAAATACATACATACTTACCGTAAAGAATAGTTGATGATTCCATTGTTGATAGTAGTCGTCGTTGTAGTAATTCATGTACGCCCACCACGCATAATAGTGTGAAAATATCGACAACGAGAATAGCAACAACATCGAGTAGCGGCAACGTTGTTGCAATATCAACGCAATCAACTGTTTAATGCATTCATAAAGTGCAATAACAGCGAATACAGTCAACAGCCACATTTTGAACGAGTTTTGTGTTACATTGAAGTAGAGATGCTTATAGGAGGCGATACCCGATTCGTATGGTCCCTTGAATATGGTGTCCCAGCAGGAGCAAGTACAAAAGTGTTTATCAACGTAACGTGAATAATTTTGCCAAAAGTAGGCCAACACCAACATGTGTGCGGGCGGTATGAGGGCGGGCGCCAAACTGCCACAGGCGGCAGGCAACCATTTAGTGTCGAACATTTTTTCTATTTTTTTTTCTATTTTTTTACTGATAGCTTGAAGTGTTTACTACATACAGCATGGAACAATTTGTTGAACTTTTCGCGCGCCCACTTGATGGGTGGGGTTGGGTGATTGGGTGGTTGGGTGGTTGGGTGGTTGGTTGGTAGGGTGGCGGCTGTTTGTATTTTTCCTTATACTTATATACTCCTTAAGTGGCTGTGGTGCGTTTTGATGGCTCACTTAAATCTGCGTAGAATGCTGCGTTGAAAAACGGTTACTTGCATTATTTAAGTCTGCCAGTTGATCGTTTCGCTATTCACCGCTGGCTGGCTGCCTGCCTGCTAGCTGCTGCACTCTTGTTGGTTGCTCTCTTATGTATGTATGTAGTAGTTGCTGGCGTTGTCGTCGTTGGTGGCTGTGATACGAGTACTTTTGTTGAAGAAGCGCTCTTGACATTGGTTGGTGTGCTTTGGTTTTGGTGTGACGGTGGTGTAGTTCTTATTGGATATGATTGCTGTCGATAGCCAGGCTGTGTGCGACATAACTTGTGCTACTATTGCTTACAGACATAAGGACATAAGTATGTATGTGGTGCGTATGTAGTATGTACCTAGCCGGTTAGTTACATATTTATGTATGTATGTGTATCTTTACGCATGTATTACAGGTCGGGGCATTTATCGCACGTCGCTGAATTGCCTTTATGAATATGAAGATTTCATCCTGAAAATATCTTGAATGCGTTTTGTCGGTTGTAGTTGCGTCTTAAATGGATTTGCTCATTTGGCACTTGGAAAATTTGCCATTTGTTAGAACTTAACTTAAGCATGTAAACGAGAGTTATTTATGTATGCATGAGTGCGCGCAAATATATTTGTACATTTATTAATACCATTATAACCATTATTTATAATTGAGTTTCACTGTAACGGGAAAACTGAAGTACTAGCGATTAGTATTAAGTAAAAAAAAAAACTAAGATATATGAATTATTTCTGTGAAAGGTATTTTTGTGAGAATTGGAACATTTTTTAAACTCAAATCGGATTCTAGAAATCGTGCGAAATTTCGGTTCTAAATATCTAAACGGGTGGCTAAAAATATGCAATGTGAACGCTTAAGCGGTGCCATATTGAAATGGTTGCAGGAAGTTCCTGCAGAAACGTTGCATATTTTATGACGCAATGGATTTTCATTTCGATTGTTAAAATTGGAATTCACTAGTGGGATTTTAGAAATCGCTATGCTAAATTTCTATAGCTAAAAATCTCTAAATAATTAAAATATGGGCCTAAAAATATGCAATGTGAAAACGGTTGTTATGTTGGCGTTGTATATTTTTAGGCAAAAAAAGCGTTATGGCGATTTCTATAATCCCATTGCTGCAATCCAATAATTTGATAATTTACGAAGAAACTAATTTTCTAGTATATGCATATAAATCTATATACGTATATATTAGGGTGTTCGATTATTCGCCTTTTTTCCGAAACCCGGTTTCGAGTTAGTCCAAAAATTGCAATTTCAAACAAAAAAAAAAAACGGCTCTTGAGTTTTTCATTAAGAAAGAACCAGATAAACCGATTTTATTTAACTTGGTTTTCATTCAGTGAAAATGCTTACGTTGGTATGAAGTCATGACCAAACATTTTTTTCTCAGAAAAGAGCAAATCAAAAAAAGTTCAAAGTTTTTTTTAAGATCAAAATACAAAAAAATAATATCAGTGAAAAATTGAAGATCCCTAAAAATCCTTCAGGTATGTATGGGAAAATATATGATAATCCAATTTCAGCAATGAAGTTAAACTCAATTTTTCTCTAATAAAAAAAGGCTAATTTTGTACCAAGGTTAATCTTGTACATATCTAAAAATTTCTCTTAATTATTAATACTTAACCATAGCAAAATCCGACCACAGTTAAATTACCATTCATTATAGTCGGCAGGAGAATTGTCTTTGTCCTAACAAATAAATGCAGTAAATTCCATAACTACATATGTATATACATATATATACAGTACACACACACACATATTTGACCTTTAGTATATTACAAAAACGTTTCCATTCCGCAGCCGTAACTTAAAACCATGCGAATTTTACTTTCTCTGCAACTGCGCGAGCTTTTGCGCCCAAAATTAAAAATTGCAAATACTTTTACACTTAAGAGCGCTTGTACAAATGTATGTACATACGCAGTCACCTTCATATCTGCCTACAGACAAATATATAAGCGGCTGCAAAGCCAGCTATTTCGATTTTTAATTAAAAAGTCTATTTATGAATGTAGGTTAGGGTGGCCCAAAAAGAGTAAAGTCGGAATTTTAATGCTCTCACCCCCTAGGAGTGTTCTATATCGAAAAAACGTATACCCCTATTTTTTTTATTTTGAAATCATAAAAAAACTTAGAGGTCGCACAAAGCGCTCAAAATTTGCCATGTATTTTATATGAGAAAAAAAACAACTTTTCGTAGAAATGGTATAGAATTCTTGAAAATAAATATTTTTCTATCGGAAAACTCAGGTTCTCTTCAGCAGACTTTCAATCCTAATGCCCAATTGTTTATATAATCATTTTTTAATACTAAAGATTTTTTATTGGTCCCCCCATTGCATTTTTCGGGGTTTTTAGGGTTTTTGGCGGACCTTTAAATGATAGTTGCTATGGAAAAAATGGTTAAATTAACAATTGGGTATTATTATCGGGAATCTTCTGCAGAGAAACAGAGTTTTCCGATCGAAAAATACTGATTTTGAAGAAAAGTTGTTTTTTCCCCATATAAAATACATGAAAAATTTTGTGCGCTTTGTGCGACCTCTAAATATTCGCTATAGAAAAATCCTAGGGGGTGAGAGCATAAAAATTCCCACTTTACATTTTCACATGATTTCTTTTTTTTGGACCACCCTAATGTGGGTATACACAGAAGTTCGAAACCATTGAAACGCAAGTGAGTATTTTGCACTCTTTGTTTTGCCTGCAGCTAAAGCGAAAAATTTTCTCAACTGTAATTGTAAGTATATTTTTTCAATGCGGTAGTAGATATTAAAGTAATTAAACTAAGCTACGAAGTTTGGTTTTTGATTTTTAATTTTTGTTTTACTTATTTTCAAATATTTTTGAACTTTAGGGCGTATACTTGCAAAAAAAAATACTTATGAACTGTGTATGCAGTTGAAAAGTGAAATTGTTGTTGTTGTATTCGAAAAAGTTGCAAACGGATGAATAAAGTGAAAAGGTGCTTCTTATATTTACTTTTATATAGACTATTTATTCTCATTTTCCTGACTTACTTTTTGTATGGTTATAAAACTGTATGTGTGTGTGTGTGTGTTTTTAAAAATGATTGGTTCAAAAAATGTTTAAAATTTTTTAACCGTTAAAACTTTCGCTTTTTCTGCCATGGAATGGGCATAGTGCTTGTACATATGTACATAGTAAAAAAGTGAAAAAAAAAAATCATGAAATATGATTGAGCCAAGGGTTGCACTTGAGTTTGCAAAGTTAAGCTTTTACGTTACGAATTTTGTGCAGTTAAGAGTAGTTAGCTGAGCGCTCGGGGCAAATATAAATTTTTTCATGTTCGTATGTATGCATGTTTGTGACGTCCAAAATTTATCCCGCGGTCAAAACTTTTTTGTGTTTTTATGTTTTCTATAGGTTTTATACAGAAACTTATAGGGAAAACATTGAACTCTGCTCATCACTAACTTAAGCGAATACAAATTGCTTGACTAGCAGACAAATTTAATTTGAAGCAGAAACTCTGCGGTAGAATTGTGAGTCTATTAAAGATAGATGCCAGAAGCACTTACGTGGACCTTTAAAAAAAAAAGTATATATATATATATATATATATATATATAGTATGTCTAAGTATATTAAGCTTTCTTAAAAAATAAGCATATGATTTTCTTCAAAATCTAACTTATTGGCGCCCACGCCCCAACGCCAACGGATATCTCGACGTGCGAAATGTATATGCAACAATTTCACGGCTAAAAAAACAACAAAGCTCACGAAGCTGGCGGCCTAGTAGCTAATAGTTAGAACATACGAACTTTTCATTGATATCCACAGAACAGTGATCGGACTTCTACCACATTGTGGTAGATCTGCCACTTTTTTGAGCATCTACCACATCTACCACACAAGGTCTGAAATCTACCACATATTCGCATTTTTGTGTAGTTTTATTTTTGCTCGACATAATTTTCTTAATTTTAAGAGCAAAAATTGTCCAACACTGAACACTAATAACAGTCAGAATGGGATTATAAAATAAACTGTAAAATATTAAATTTTCTCAATAGTCAATTTTTCGACACGAAACGTGGTTTTGTGTTAAATTGCAAAATATATGATTTATAAAAATAACTAATAGCGAAAATGTTAAAAAACGGCGATTTTTGTGAAAGTGTTAGCAAATTTCAGTGCATCAAAAGCTTCTAAAGCGTTGTTTACCTTTACTTGAGAATTGTCAAAATCGGCAAATCCCAAGTAGCGGCTTCTGGAACGTGCCACATTTGTTCGCTACATCGTGATCTTTCAAAATATGTTGGAAAAATATCTGGATATGGAAGGAACTGCTTTACACGTTCCAGAAAAAAAATTGCCAAAACTCAACGCAATTTTTAACAACTTCAATCTTGCACTTTATTATAATAAAATTATTATTATTTTTTATTCTAATTGAAATGTTTGCAATTTATCTGAAACCTTGCAGAATATTTTTAATTTTTGTACAAAGTTTGATTCAAAACCTGAGATCTACCACATTTTTTTGAAATCTACCACATTTTTTTCCAGATTCTACCACACAAATTTTTTTTGAAGTCCGATCACTGCCACAGAATCTACGGTTTACGAAAGAATGCGTGCGTATGTGCCTTTACATATGTATTTAAGTTCACTCAACTTTTTTGCATTGTCGCACGTGCCTATCTTGTCACTTTCCGAGAAACGTTTATACGAGTATTCAAACTCATCCGTCACATGCACGCGCACAACATAACAACATACGTAGGCTATGCATATTTGAAAGCTAAGCTATTCAATGGACATTAGGGTGGTCCTAAGAAAGTTAAGTCGGAATTGCAATATTCACGCACAAATGTACCTTTTTTTTTTTAATCTCCAAATATTTATGGGGCGCTAAAAGCGCTCAAAGATTTCCAAGCAATTTAAATGGGGAAAAACAATCTTTCGTAGAAATGGTAAGGAAAACCTTTAAAATCTATATATCTCCCAATGTTTTTTTTTTTAAATTTTTTAATGCTAACTATTTTAATGAGTCCCCCCACCAAAAAAAAACAAAAATATACAAAAACAGTATAAAAAATCTTTAATATTAAAAAATTTTAAAATAAAAAATTGGGTATTATGCTCTGAAGTCTGCTGAAAAGAAAAAGAGTTTGCCGATTGAAAAATATCGATTTTTAAAGATTCTACACCATTACTACGAAAAATCGTTTTTTCGCCATTTAAAATACATAGCGACCTGACTTTTGACTTCCACAAAAAAGGGTATATTTTTCGATACAGAACAATCCTAATGGGTGAGAGTATGTGTTGTTGGACCAGCCTTATCTACATACATATGAATGGTGTGTGTGCTCATACATATGTATGTGTGTATTTGTTTGTAAATGCAGCATTTGAAAGGGAAAATGCAATTGGGGGACCAGTAAAAAAGCTTTATTATTAAAAACTTGTTAAATAAACAATTGCGTATTATTATTTGAAGTCTCCATTTCTACGAAAAGTTGTTTTTTTTCCTATATAAAAATACATAGAAAACTTGGAGCGCTTT